TATGGTTTGTTTTGCAATCTTGTCTTTCTACATTCTTAGAAAAGCCAGTAAAGAGCACAATGTATGTGTTAATATGTAGGAATTTTCCGTATAGATTTTTTTCACAACCGTATTTTGAATTATGCATGTGTTATGTTTTAGGGTTAAAGGAGATATCTGTAAACTTATTGAATAATGTCTTGGCAGAATTTTTTTCTTTCTGTAGTGAAAGGTCTGATATTTTTTCTGTCAACAAGGGTATGCTTGAATTCATTTTATGTGACATTTGTACCACAAAATAATGATATAATGTTGGCTTAAACCATAGACTCTGAGTGAACAGGTTGCCAGATCATCAGTATATCATGCATTATGATATGTGTTTGTGGGTGGCAGCTCGCTGGTGGTCCTCCTCAAATATGTAGCCAGGAACACTTGCCAATTATCCTTCAGAACTGGCAATTTTTATTTCTATTGCACACAATGATTATTTCAGATGACGAACAATATATTTGGCATTTTATTTGGCATATACATAATAACCCAAGCTGACAAAACTTTTATGTTATCTTGGGTGGTGCTATAGGCTGTCAACATCATGTTTAATGTCTGTTGCTTGGAAAAGTAATAGAACTAACCCCTCTTCTTAAAAATAAATGTTCCAACATGTTTTTTTGCAGTGATGCTATCAGTGTTAGGAAGGTTACTTTGGAAATGTAATAGGTTACAGATTGCAAGTTACCCTATTTCAAATATAACAAATAGTGTAACTATTTCAATTACTTTATTAAATTGTAACTGGTTACATTTGATTACTTTTTGATTAATTTTCTAAATTTCGAATGTTTTCAACTGTTAATCATTTTGAAACATTTAAAGCAGGCAGGGTTAATTTAATTTAATTACACATTTTTTTTCCTCAGTAACTGTAACTAATTAAAATTACATTTATTTTGTAATTGTAATTAGTTACATAATTAGTTACATAATTAAATTACATAATTTTCTCCATTCGGTCACCGATGGAGTTTTGGTTCCTTGCCGCTGTCGCCTCTGGCTTGCTTAGTTGGGGACACTTAATTTCCAGAGATATCGTCGACTTGATTGCACAGATATATTTAAACTGAACTGAGCTGCATGATGACATCACTGAATTCAATGATGAACTGCCTTTAAATGAAAATTGAGTGTTCACTATTGTCATTTTGCATTATTGATACACTATTTTCCTATTTAATACTGTAAAGCTGCTTTGATACAATCTGTATTGTTAAAAGCGCTATATAAATAAAGGTGACTTGACTAATTAAATTACATAATTCCGTCACATGTCACTAGTTACTCCCCAACACTGGATGCCATAGAACAGTGTTTCTCAACCCTGGTCCTGAGCGCCCCCCAACACTGCACATTTTGTATGTCTCCCTTATCTGACACCCATTTCAGGTCCTGGAGTTTCTTTTAATGAGCTAATGAGTTGAATCAGGTGTGTTTGATTAGGGAGACACACAAAATGTGCAGTGCTGGGGGGCGCCCAGCACCAGGGTTGAGAAACACTGCCATAGAAGAACCATTCTGGGTTCTCCAAAGAACCTTACAATGTTTTAGAACATTTAAAGCGTATTTTAAGCATAATACTCCAGCATTGTCTAGTAAAAAGCCCAGTTTTGCTGTAAAGTCTTAATGATCTCATTTTATGACATAATCGTGAGTCTGACACAGGGGTCCTGTGGAGAGAGTGTTTGGCCACAGTCAGGCAGTGTTGTTTTTAGCCTTGCTGCAGGCTCCGTAGAGTCTGCACCATAATGACACCTGTCCTGTAGCGTTAACAAGAGTGCAGATTGTCAAGAAAGAGGCCAAAAACGTCTTTTTCTGACAACTGAAATATGCATCTTTTGCACCAAAACCAATATTTGAGCTCAGAATATGTTACCTTATGTCACATTAGCAGGAAGCATGGTATCTCTTTTCATAGTTATGCTGACGACACACAGTTGTATGTAGCCGTGTCTCCTGATGATACTGTTCAACTTGACTCACTTTCAAATTGCATCCAAGACATAAAGGACTGGATGTCACACAATTTTTTACAACTCAACCAAGATAAAACTGAAGTATTGATTATTCGAACCAAAGTGCAGAGAGAAAATTTGACCCCTAAACTAAATATATCACTGTAAAAAAATCCGTAAAATTTACGGTAAAAAAAAACCGGCAGCTGTGGTTGCCGGAAATTTACCGTAAAAAAAATACGGTAGCAACATTTTATGTTTTACGGTTTTAACTTACATTTACAGTTAAATACCGTAATTTCATTAACTGATATAATGTTAATATATCAACCTATTGAAGTACTGAAATCTGTTTTGTACTTTTGTAATACACTGATAACCACCCAATGCAGGTGGTGATGAGAAAGTCACATGATGTACCAAAGCCCATCACAAGCAGCTTTTAAATACTAACATATATAGAAGGTGCACAGTGTCATTCACACAAACACTAAACACCATCATGGTAACACACGATACTGAAATAATGCATTAAACATTCATTTAACAACATTAGGTGTAACATACAACCCTAATGTACAAAACTGATCAGAAAAAACTAAGAAGAAACAGTTATTTAAACAAAAAAACATCAAATTTGAAATGTAAGACAGGGAATTCTGGGAATGTCAATTTATGGTTATTCACTGTAAATTATACATTCTTTTTCAGTTCCAAAAACGGTATACTACTGTAAAATTACATGTAATGTCCAATACAGTTTTTCATCGTATATAGTAGGGGAATTTACCGTTAACCATTTAACAGGTTTGTACTGTAGCATTTTTACAGTCTTTTACCATTAAATTCACGGTCATTTTTTACTGAATCCAAGCCTTGTGGCAAAAAATTTAGGAGTTGTCTTTGATTCAGATATGTGCGTAATATTACCAAAACTGCATTTTATCATCTGAAGAACATTGCGAAAGTAAGACCATTTCTCTCTCTGAGCAATACAGAAAAATTAATGCATGCATTTATAACTAGCAGGCTTGACTATTGTAATGCCCTCCTTTCAGGTCTACCAAAGAATACAATTAATCAACTACAACTAATACAAAATGCTGCTGCTAGAATATTGACAAAGACTAAAAAGAGAGATCACATTACACCTGTATTAAAGTCATTACACTGGTTACCTGTTAGCTTTCTTGTTGATTTTTAAAATCTTTTATTAGTTTACAAGGCATTGCATGGACTTGCTCCAGACTATCTTTCAAAAATGCTTATAGTATACGAACCCAGAAGGACTCTTAGGTCTTCAAATTCGTTTTAACTTATTGTAGACCTTATTCTTTTTACCTTATTGTAGACCAGATAGTTTAATAAATATAAATATTTAATACAGTGGTGGCCAAAATTATTAGAACACTAGTATTTTCACCAGTTAAAATGGTTTCAAGACAGTTATTTCTATCATTTGCTGTAGTGTGTCAGTAGGAAACAGTTAGTTTACATTTCCAAACATTCATTTTGCCATTCATTTTAATAATCTAGTGAGATTTTTGCACAAGGAGTCTGACAACAGCCAGTGCTCCACACAGAGATCTGATCTGATCATCATCATCAGTCTGTCTGGAATGACATGAAGAAACAGAACAAACTGAGACAGACTAAATCCAGAATGAATTTGGTTAAAAGAAAATCTATTTATGACATTATTTTTGACAGCATCCTCATTTTACAGCATTTTACAGCAACTTTTAACAGTATTGTAGCTTCGCAGGTAGGTTTCTTGAAGCCTCTTAGAGATGTTGCCAGTTCTTCTGTTTCCTACCGACACACTACAGCAAAAGATAGAAACAACTGACTTAAAACCATTTTTCAGCTGGTGAAAATACTAGTGTCCTAATAATAATTTTATTATTATTATTTCTAATCATTTTGGCCACCACTTACATGTTTTGCAGACAATATTTTACTAATTTACAATGATAAAGTATGTCAGTTGTTTAATTTTTAGTCAAGTTGCATTTATACCACATTTATTGTTTGTCTTTCTCTATTTTCTCAGTATAAATTAATGTATGAAAAAAATACAGCCATATATTTTAGAAAGGGGGTTCTGTGCAAAGTTACAGCAGTATTTTTGTTTTCTTTTTGATCATGTTTTTGTCAAATAGCAATTATTTTATGACACCTACGTGGCTTAAATAATTATGTGTTATTCTGTGTATTTTTGCTTTTACGCTACTGCTTGATTTGACAATCATGCCAATAAAGTACTTTGAAATTGATATCGAAGTGTACAGTGTGTTTGTGCGAACTGAGGTGATGGTGATTTGCTTAGTCTTAAGTCTGCAGAGACCAGATCAAGAAACAGACTGTCTCCACTGAGTGTGTGGCCTCCAGGACAGGTGTTGCTCACTGACTGACCTCTTCATCTGTGTGTAAAACAGTACTGACAGAGGGCTGCCTCAAGCAGCAGCCTATGAAGGAAAGTACATGCCATAAAAATACCTAAGATAACATTTCACTATCTCTATCATGCAGTAAGGGCACTGAACTTTGACCTGTTCTTTTTTTATCCGGAAAAAAAATAAGCTCTCTAGCTCTCATTGATTTAATAGTAGTTAATGGATTTGTAACTGCTTAGGTAGGAAAGTCATAAAAGTAATTTGAGCAAAAGGGGTGGGACTCAGAAAGCAGGGCGTGGATACGCACCCAAAACGGGTGGGAGATGAATGGGCAACCCTGGTCACCCGAGGCGGCACGACTGCGGGACCTCAAATCAAAGAAGTCCCATCAGTCCAACAAAAAGAACATGAAAGTTATAATTCGTAATGTCACTTCTCTGGATAAGAAATTATCGCGCAAATATGGCGTGCATTTGATTTAGTGACTCTGAGGCGCAAAAAAAATGTAAATCTCACTAAATGTTTAGTCTTGCAACAAAACCCGTTATTTTACATTTAATACGGGAATGATTCCTCCGTTTAACGTTTTGTTTCTTGCGACGCAAAGACACTCATGGGATGTTGGACAACGAGTTGCGACTTGGGACACCTGAAAGCGCGCTCCAAGGTGTCCGTGTTCTTTACCATGATCCTCATATTCATCTATTTGTTCTACTGTCTCACCGGATACTGCGATTCCATGCCGAGTCCGCTGTACGTCCATCAGAATTTCAGAAGCGAACTTTTCCCAAAGGAAGGGAAGAAACTCGCGCACTGGAACGGCTCCATCGTTCGCGAACTCCCCGAGCAGGATGCGACAGACGTGGAAGAGGAGAAGCGGCAGCGAGGTTTAGCTTATGACACGTACAGCAATCTCTCCGTGTCAAACAACTTTGGGACCAAAGAGTTTCCTCGGGCGATTATTATCGGCGTGAAAAAGGGAGGAACGCGCGCGCTTCTGGAGTTCCTGCGCGTTCATCCAGACGTGAGAGCCGTGGGTGCGGAGCCGCACTTCTTTGACAGGTTCTATGAGAAGGGGCTCCAGTGGTATAGGTAGGTCGCCTGTTATTAGCTAGTTGTGAATAATATGTATTAGTATCATTTTGCCATAGGGTTAAGGATTATCAAAACACCCAAACGTATTAAAATTCAGCACGTAACTTCATTACAGTACAAACATGAATGATATGCTACCTCAAAACATGCTGCTGGTTGGATGGACAGTTAAGGCACACTTAAAATTCTGAATGTCTGTGTAATTTGTACCAGAACAGAGGCATTTATTTTAAAGAAATATAGCACAAGAAAACGTGTTTGCAAATATGTTGTATCTAATGACTTTTGTATGTCTTTATTTGTGCAAATACATTTTTCGTACATTTAAGTAAGCATTATAGCAACTGCAAAATAATAATAATAATAATAATTTTTTATAATAGAAGTATATATATATATATATATATATACAAAACCTCTACAAAAAAAAAAAAAAAAAATATATATATATATATATATATATATTAATAATAATAATAATAATAATGATATTTTTTTTATAATAGAACAACTTGCTAACGGCCATTCCTTAGCAACCAATGTCTGTAATGGTATAGACATTATGTAGCCCCGCCCCTTTTCAGCACTGTGCTCATTGTCTTCTGTCTTCCGGTTTGTATTTCCACAGCGTGAAAGTACTGTAAGGTCATACAAATTTACAAATGATTCGCTCATTTTAAAGGATTAGTTCACTTCCAGAATAAAAATTTCCTGATAATTTGCTCACCCCTATGTCACCCAAGATGTTCATGTCTTTCTTTCTTCAGTAGAAAAGAAATTAAGGTTTTGAGGAAAACATTCCAGGCTTTTTCTCCATATAGTGGACTTCAATGGAGCCAACGGGTTGAAGGTCCAAATTTCAGTTTCAATGCAGCTTCAAAGGGCTCTACACGATCCCAGCCGAGGAATAAGGGTCTTATCTATTAAGGTTCTTATTATAAAAATTAAAATGTATGAACTTTTTAACTACAAATGCTCTTCTTGCACTAGCTCGACCTCACGCATTACGTAATCACGCACGCATGACGGAGGTGGCAGTACCAACCCAGTGTTTACAAAGCAAACGTGCAAAGAAAGTCAAACGCCCTTTACAAAAAAACGGTAAAACAAAGATGTCGGACGATTTTGAAGTTGGAGGAGAAAATGTTTTTTGCCCTACCCTACCTTTTTGAACCGAAGTACACAGATGAAGAACTAGCAAGGCGTGACCTTTCCAACGTGATTACGTAATGCGTGAAGTCGCACATCGCAGAGCTAGTGCAAGATGAGCATTTGTGGTTAAAAAGTATAGAAATTTTTATTTTGTTTTGTTTAACCCACTGATCCCCATTGAAGTCCACGATGTGGAGAAAAATCCTGGAGTGTTTCCCTCAAAAACCTTAATTTCTTTTTGACTGAAGAAAGAAAGACATGGACACCTTAAATGACATGAGAATGACAGGAAATTTTTATTCCGGAAGTGAACTAATCCTTTAAAATCTTCCCGGTCTGACATGCATCTTGAACATTGCAGTACTCATGATAACTTTAGTACATCCACTTCACCAGCTAATTACTTTTCAACAGCAATTCTATGGAGCTACTACTAAAAAGTGTAAGTTTAAAGAAAAATTTCTAAAGATGGCTGTGCTCTTGTTTTTCTGATGCATAAGGTCTGTAATTCTTATTTTCTTAAGAGAAAAGACAAGTTTAATTCATTTTTACAAACAGATCACAAATAATAGCGTTATCTGTCTAATCACTCCCTATGATTTAGATTGTTAGAGACTGCAATTTTCTTTATCCAAGTTACCCACTTAAAATCTTAAGAGTGGTAATTAAGTCAGCCAGCAGATGTTTTATCTTACAGTAGACCAATTTTATAACAGACATTGTAATTTATGTAGACAGCAGCTCAAGAGCTCCTGAAATGCATGCATCTGAGGCACATAACGTTTATGCAGCTCTCATCATAAAGTCTTCCAGCAAAGAATATTGGTTTAATTAACTCCTCAAAGGAGTTACACGCTGAGATTTCTTCATTCATCAGTTCTTTTTGCATGTTTAGACCATCCTTCAAGCAGTTATGCATATGTCTGCATGATCGGCAATTGATTCTTCCTCTCTCTTTTAATGCCACTTGGTTCATTAATATCAACTGTCAATAACCCAACCAGTTCAGAGCCGCGTCTCATTGGCAGGACATTCAGCCCTCTGCCAATAAAATGACTGTGGATTGACCGTCAGTGCTTCTGTCTCTCGCCTCTGTCCATCTCTCATCTCCATTCCACCTAATTAGAAATCAGACAAATGCGAATGACTATGTATTGCTGGTTCATCATTTAATTCCCTTCTTTTGTTGTTCCATATGACGTTCTTCTGCAGTAGAAGATATTTTGAAGAGTGTTGGTAACCAAACTGTTTTGGGTCCCATTGACTTCCATTGACAAAAAAATACTATGGAAGTCAATGGGACCTGAAACCATTCGAACATTGTTCAAAATATCTTCTTTTATGTTGTAGACAAGAAAGAAAGTCAAACTGGTTTGGAATGACGTGAGGGAGGGGAAGAAAATGATGACATGATTTAATTTTTTTCAGGTGGATTGTCTCTTTAAAAATATCTTCAAGGAACACTGTACCCCAAAATTACAATTCTGTCATTAATTACTCACTTTGCAAAACTCGTATTCTGTTATTTTGTCACAATACAAAAGGAAAATTTGGGGGTTATGGGTTTGAAATTACAGAGAGTGAATAAATGATGACAGAGTTTTCATTACGGGGTAAAATATTCCTTTAATAATCGCATTTCCTCTCTTGTCAAGAAACTATACCTCGTGAAGCGACTTTGAGGTTTAGTTTGATGATTTGTCTCTCTTTCTCATGCACACACACACACATTTGTTCCAGCATGTGGTGACAGCCTATGTAAACAAACTGTCCATGTATGGGGTTTTTGTAAAGTATAATTCAATATCAGCCTTGTCAACACCACGGGTCTTCTGTGTGTGCAGATGTGTAATGACAGCTGAGCTTTTGTGAATGCCAGCTGGAAGCTGTACACGGAAGAGCTTTGTCACATGGCCACTGTGTGTATGTGTGAGAGAGCAAGAGTGAGTGAATGAGTTGAGAGAGAGAGACATACAAGCTTTGTGAGCGACCAGGTGCTCGTATACTTTACTCATTAAAAGGTTTATGGAACTCATGACTGTTGCCCTTGTCAGATATTGTACATTGTAAAATTTACTGATGCATTATAGCCTACAAATATTGTATATATTATATGCATGTGTTTAGTCAAATATTTTATTTGTATTATTTATTTTATTTTACGTGTTTCTAATTTGTGACCTTGGACCACAAAAGCAGTCTTAAGTCGCTGGGGTATGTTTGTAGCAATAGCCAAAAATACATTGTATGGGTCAAAATTATCTATTTTTCTTTTATGCCAAAGATCATTAGGATATTAAGTAAAGATAATGTTCCATGAAAATATTTTGTACATTTCCTACTGTAAATATATCAAAACTTAATTTTTGATTAGTGATATGCATTGCTAAGGACTTCATTTGGACAACTTTAAAGGTGATTTTCTCAGTATTTAGATTTTTTTGCACCCTGAGATTCCAGATTTTCAAATAGTTGTATCTCGGGCAAATATTGTCCTATCCTAACAAACCATACATCAATGGAAAGCTTATTTAAAAAATTTTTTTTAAATTGCCCCTTATGACTGGTTCACATTTAATTAATAATATTTGACTACAGTGAACATTTTCTAAATACATTTCAAAATACTAAAGAAATAATTATGAATTAATTTCAGGATGCACTGCATAATAATTAAGTTCTATATTTTATCTAATATTATAAACTGAAGATCGTAAAAATCTGATCTTCTCATGATTTGATAATATGTTCTGATTAACATGTCCATCCATTACATGTTCTTTAATTCTGTTCATTAATCCATAATAATTGTTCCTCCCCCACTCAATGCAGTTACCTGACTCTGGTTGCACCTTTTCATGACTCCATAAATCACTGTCCGGAATAAAAGTCACCTCCCAATCAATGATGTGTGCTGACGTGCTGCTTATCGATTCCTCCTTAACCAACTTTATTGCACTTAGGCATAGAGACGGTTAATTAACCTGTGCATATTCAATCTTGTTGACAAACTGCTGCCGCCCTTTTCAGCTCTTGACATTCTTTATGACACTCCAAGGTGTTTAGCTATAAAGGTTTATGTTTTAAGAGCTGTGTTTTAAGATAATGCTCATTTGTGACAGGTTTAATTCCTTGTTGTCTTGTGAGTGTTGTGTAACATGGAATGCTTATTTATTATATCTCTATATTATACCCATATTTATGTTTATATGATATTTATATCATAAAGGTGTATATATATATATATATATATATATATATATATACAGTACATTTTTGTAGTTAATTTACATTTAACACAATTATTTTATGTATATTTGTCACAAAAAAATACATTACAGAACAAATGTTTTAGCACTCAGTCCATTCCATGCAAAAGTTTATATTTTTTAATCTATCCCTGATGTTAATGAGTACATTTACATTTTGCATTACACATTCAATTTAGATTTTAAGGCCATATATTTCATGATGCCAGAGTGCTGATTTGACAGGCTAGATTTCCCACATGACCTGGGTCTCTAACATTAAACTAGCCATTGATTGATCAGGACTGAGGGTAGTGGTGTGGAAGAAACCATTGGCGCGCTACAGAGATAGATGTGTTATCTATAACCTCAGAGTATGGCACAGCCTCGTAATGAGGAATACGAGTCAGGGAGTAGCCCAAAAGGAGGTTTTCGCAGAGATTCCATAAAAGAACCTTTTTTGGTTCCTTAAAGAACCTTTCAGAGAACAGTTCTTCAAAAAGAACCATTTTTGGAACTTTTCAGTGATCTGAAGAACCTTTTTTCCCCATAAAGAACCTTTTGTGGAATGTAAAGGTTCCATTGATGTTAAAGGTT